CTCCCTCTCTAATACTTCCCTCCAATTAAGGTACCTGCATGAAAAGCCCACCCCAGAGTTCTTAATAGAGGTTTTACGCTAGGCAGGTAGACATGTTTTTTAGACTGATTTTATAACGTACTTATGTATACTATTTAAAACACGAGCAGGGGCCGATTGTATAAATAAGTGATTAAAGTTAACTATAGTTAGTGGAAACGTCATCCAATAAAAAGCGCGTATTTGAGAGTTAATCACTATTTAACTACAAAATAGTGATTAAAAAAGTGATTAAGAGTTTTAAACAACGGCCCCTGGTTATTTCAGCAGCGAACGAAAAAGAGTTAACTACTTTTTAACTGCAGTTAGCGCTAACTACGTTTTTATACAACCGGCCCCAGGAGTGCTTTATCAGACGTACAAATGGCTTAAAAAACTACCTGTCTGATGAGTACATTGGCGAAGTAATTTTAAAAATAAACGTTGTCTAAGCCGAGAAAATCAAAGCTAAAGTTTATGTAAATGAACACGCCAGTGATATCCTTTGTCTTTTCTTCATGAATTATTAATGAGTTTTTTAAATAGTACATAATTAATAAGTTGACATATAAGGATTTTATAAGTATATTATCGGTGAACTAATTTTACGAAATTGAAATAGACATACATTGTAAACGATATACATCATGCTGCTTTATCTATCTTATACCTTATACTTAAATTAATTACCGCGTGTTCCCATACAGGGCCGGCCTTTCTTTATAATGTATAATTTATAATGCTACTATGTTATATTATAAAAATATAAAACTGTTAAAAGAAAAGGACTGTGTTGTTTATTTTATACACACGATAAAAACTTGTAACAAACCTGTATGCATGCAGCAGATATGCAGCGGTCACCTCGCCCCTTCAATTCTATATTTTTATTATCGTGCATATCTATCTGTATTTGCAACTTGAACTTGACTTGTACCAATGCTGTTTCAGCACTACTTGTTATCATGCAGGATGTGTTCGCATTGCCTGCCCTGAGCTTGCTGGCAACTTGCTACAATGTTATTGACTCAACAGCCAACAGGCTTGTTACAAGTTGTTCCAACAATTTGTTATCGTCCAACGACTTATTAACGACTTATTAACAATCCAACGAGTTATTAACAAGTTGTCGCGGGAATGATAAGTTTGTAGCAACTTCGATGACAAGTGGTCAGTGTCAAACTTGTTGGCAAGCTTGTCACAAGTCTGTTTGGAACACATATTATTAAGGAGATGTTAGATGTTTGCGTGTGTAGGTTTCAATGGCTACGTTAAACCTTTTCTAAAGTTGCCGTATAATCTCTTATAAAATCTTGAAAAGTCTGTGCCAGTGTAGGTAGAGACGATGACAAACAGCAGCGGTGTCAAGGATATGCAACTACACGCATCTAAGAAACATGCCATCTAATACTGCCCCCCCCCCCCTTCCCCCACCCCTTCACAGGAAGCCGACGCCTCTTATACCTTGAACTGTTGAACATGCAGCGTTGTGATCTTTACATACATAGTAAGTGGTACAGTCCTAGGCATACCGTCTCGGGTGCTCAACTTCTATTTTGCCACAGCGTGCTCGATCACCCTGAACAGACCTGGAGGACTGGCATAAAACCGAGCACGGTGAACCGAGCTACTATAGTCACTATACTGCTTCTAGTAAGTTGGTCTAACTGATCTTGGCTTTTCGCGTCTTATCTCCATTTTGCCTGAAAATGCCCCACCATGCTGAATGCTCTTCATATTATATGTATTCCCAGACTGTTGGGTGGACTAGTAGGCCGTATATTAGCTTGTTATAGGCTGATTTTATTGGATGTGGAATGTCCAGGCCCAGTCGGCAGAACTGCTATTTTAGTCGGCCGCCAGATATATTTGATGAATAAAACTACTACCAGTATGACTTTCACCTGTTAACGGAAATTTTGGTTAATTGAAATATACTCAGCAGGATGAGTGTATGATACAAATAGATTAATTGATTCATAACGGACATAGCCCATATTTAGTAACGTATTTTAATATCAAATTGTAATAAAATGCCACTATTTGTATTTTGAATTTTGAATTTATTAACATTTGTCACAAAAATTACAATATTAGCGACAGGAGGAGAACAGGGTAAAATCCCAATTAATATCTTCCCCTTACATGCAGTTAAAATATCTAAAGCTATTTAATGTATACTATAATATATATAAAAAGCAATAATGAAAAATTATCTAGTACTAAATTAAGGCGGAGAGTATGTTAAGAGTTTTTCATTGTAAATAGAAGAAAGTTGCCTCCTAAAAAGAGCAACACTCCGATTACAAGTTTTCAACTCATTTTCAATTAGTGCACGTTCTTTTATTGTGTACGGAGATCAGAGATTTGAAGCGTATTCGAGTTGCGACCTTACCAGAGTGATATATAATAGCTTCCGGGTCTCTTGATCTACTATATCCTTGCCGCAGACACGTTTAATAAGACCTAGAGTTCTGTTGGCCTTTGCACACATCTGGATGATATGGGTAGACCACGACAAATTATTGGAAACGGTCACTCCGAGGTCTTCAGTAGCAATTGTATGGCATCCATCGACCAGTATCATGTAGTCTGAATTCTGCATTAAAACGGCCAAATGGGCGTCATTTAGGTCGGTACAAGCTCGTTCGTCAGTCGGTTGCAAATGAGGACGTCCCTGAGGGTGTCGCGCGATCGACTTTGCAGTCGTCTCCTTTTACAGTAAATTGTAGCTGCCAACGAATTAAGTAATTTAGTTTACAGTAATTGAATGCCAGCACTCTGCGGTTCGAAAAAGAGGGATAGGAAAAACACATTTTGCACTGATTTTCCATTGATCTCATAACTTGGAGGCTTAGATCTGGCACCACTAGTAGGCGAACTGCGAAGACTACTTGGTTTCATGTGGTTAGTCTTCACACTTTCACAGGCGCAGAAAATAGGTATATATAGTTTTGTAGAAAAGAAATAATTAAAGACATTACAGTAAGCGTTTTCTTCGCTCAATTTACAACGGGAAACTGCTGGTTTTCACGTCTTTTATCACGCCTGCATTTTTTCAATTCAATCCCCAAAAGGGGACTCTTCGTCAAGTTTTAGCCTATGTTTTGGGTTCTTGAAAAGCCTGATTATCGTTTCTTGGTCATTTATTATACTCTAGAAGCTTGAAAATATAAAAAGTTGTCGAATAAAGCTCAATATTTTGGACACAAAAATGTAAACAAAGGCTTTGTTTACATACGGACTGTAGAGCACCTTTAAATTTAGTACTGGTTTACAGGCTCCAAGTCACTTGTTGGAACTGGTAACTTGATATGCGCAAAATGCAGCGCGTCAGCTAAATAAATATCACGTGACCAACAACAACTCGACATAATTTATACAGGATCACTATTCTTGGAGTATAAACTATAAAGCATGATTTAATGTTGTTGGTTTGGATTTCTTTTGCCGTAACAAGCAATAATCTATTGCATTTCTTGTCCATACACAATCAATAATGGATGACGAAGAATCTGAGAGGCAAAGGAAACTAAAAGCCGGACGAGAGAAGGTAAAATCATGTTACTACTTGTATTTGTATCGTAAACTGACCATTCGACTATGAACACTGACTGCACTTGCTTCTAGATTAATTTCGAAAATTAATCTTAAGAAGGCCGAAAATTTTAATTTAACACAAATACGATGCCTGTTTTGTTTGTGTTAGTTGCTGCAGTTTCAGCAAAGGAAAACAGGCGGTAAAAAGAAGAAAAAGACATCGAGTAAATCGTCTAAGAGCAAGAACGAGGGTGACGGTGTGCAGCAACATAGTGGTGAAATTGGCGGGAACTCATCAGCAAATAGTGAGCAAGATGTCAGCATAGCTTCTGCTGATACTGACAAAGATGTTTCATCTATTGCTTCTGAAGTAGAGGAACAAATAGCACCTGCACAACAGGTAAATTTTGCAGGATTGAAGTACCAATACCATTAATAACCATTTGATGGAGTATTTAATAACCATAAACGTGAAAAAGTGAATTATAACAGCCAAACCACAACATAATTTTAAGGCATGTACTAAAACCCGAAACAACCGGAACGAAACCACCGGAACAAGAATCGGAAATGACCGGAACCACCAAAGCCAAAATCGAACAATTTCAGTGTGACCAGATCAGGGCGGATTCAGGGTCTCAACCTGACCGTAGCATTTTGGATGAGGTCAACATGCCAGGTCCCCCTACCTAGGGGGGTTTGGGGGCATGCCCCCCCAGAAAATTTTTGAAATTTGAAGCTCGCAAGTACCATTTCCTGCATTCTGAGCATCGAAATTAGATTTAAACTTTGTAGAAAAGTGCCTGTTTTTCACACCAAAATAAGAAAAAAACGCACAAAAGTTACAAAATTTATTCATCAATATACCACTTCGAACAACAGATTATCTTGAAAAAGTAAGGTAACAGTAGTTCGAAAGTTTTCAAATGTACATCATCTTGAAATAGCGGCCCAACGACAGTTTATCTGGCTAAGCAGCAGCATATATATTATATAGATCATCCCGAAACAGCAGGACAACTTATGGCAGTCACGAAAAATATTTTCTGTACTGTATATAGATTATCTCCAAGTTAGGAAAAATGTTTATTTGTAGATCATCTTGAAACAGCAACACAACGGCAATTAGGAAAAATGTTTATTTGTATATGTTTTTTGTACTAAAATTCGAGCAGTACTGCAGGAATTCGCGCGGAGCTTGGTGCGCAAATTTTAGTACTGCGGCAAATATAATCCGCCGAAAAGCTTTGCGGTGTAATATTTATTCGTTGTTAATAAATAATATAATGTAAGGCAATACCATGTACGAGCCTATAATATATGGGATGCTAATACAAATTAGTTATTGTTATTGTATTAGGCAAATGATACATTTTGAAGTTTGAACTTTATACGCTTTACTGTTATCATGAATTTTGTTTTGACAAATATTGAAGTATTGAATTACTTGCGCGAATTTAAAGCTGCGTGAGCAAGTTTCGCGAAATTGGAATGCGCGAATTTAAAGCTGAACGAAAATGAGTATATGACGCGAATTTCAATACAAGTAAGGTATACAAGGATTTGAAAGTTGAAACATCTAACCATATGTTTATGATACGTTATCCCAGGAAGCAGCTCAGCTGTTGTAATTCTAAACTCTGTTAGTATACATGTAAACTACAATATAATATATCAGAGTGTAACTATTTCTATAAATTTCATTTACACTACTCACTAGTCTTTATAGACTACAACAGGTCTACAACTAATAATTACATGAGCAAAGTCTAAGATATAAAATATATAGGAGATTAACTTACATATTTCTTTAAATAATATAAACACATATGGCATGCCAATGGCTATCAAATAGTATGAGTGGCCATTGATAGCCACTCACACTATTACCAGCAAATATATGGTAATATATTCGAAACGCATAAACTGTGTAAAATTCGATATGTTATTTACATATTTAATATACTATTCATGAGACTGACCTGACACGGAGGTGATTCAAACAGCGCTGTTCTTCACAGTTCACATCGCGGGAAATGCAAATTATGCCAATAATCGCACACCAAAAGCTTTCGATCAGAATTCTTTCGCGCATCTTTTCGTTAAATGAAACACGTTACATTCGTTCATTATACACAGAAGATCGTGGAGTGGATCTGTAGATTGTAGTCCTGTAGAAACCATATCTTTCTCCTTGCAACGAGCGGCGATTAAAATTTACCGACTATTCGATTACAACGAGTAGCCGACACGACAATAACAAGCCAGGCTTAGCCAGCATCGCTCTGAAGTCGATGCGACTATTGCAATTCAAACAGTAGCATTTTGCCTCATTGTGATTGG